TCAAGTGTGTTTGGAGAGTCAAAGGAACTGAGAAAACTAAAATACTTTTGGACAGTAATAATAAAAGAGGAGGGAACCAATAAAACCATCTACCTGATTTCAAGATTTACTTTATATCTATTGTGACCAAGACTGTGTGGCATTTTAGGAGGGATGGGCAGACAGGTCAACAGAATGACAAAGAACTCAAAAACAGATGCATAATTGGTTTCTTTCCACAAAGGTATTAAAGCAAGTAAATGTAAAAAGAATAACTGTGTGTATGCATGTGTAGTGCAAGTGTGTATATGTGTGCATGTGTTGTATATATGTGTATATGTGCATGTAGTGTATATGTGTGTACATGTTCGTATATGTGCAAGCAGGTAGAATACAGAAGTCAGAACTAGATGTCTTCCTTCCTCTCCTTCCATCGTATTGTTTAAAGCAGAGTCTCTCATTGAATGTCAAGCTTACTGAGTTAGCTATCCTGGCTGGCCAGCAGCCCAGCTCTAGGATTGTAGGCATGGACTTTTCACACAGTTTTTTGCATGAAAGCTAAGGATCTGAACTCAAATACTTAATTTGTATGATAAGCATTTTACTATGGAGCCATCCTACCCAGCCCCTGGCTTTCTTACCAATATGATAGAATAATTTACTTCTAAATTTACTTCAAAAATTAATTAATAAAAATTGACAGATGAAGAATTTCAGCTTCAAAATTATATATTGTATTCTATAAGATGAATTCAACTTTAATAAATGGCTTCCATGTAAGACATTATAAAATTTTGTGGATAAAATATTTGGAACTTATGGTGAGGCAGAGTTCTCTGACATCGCAAGTATGAGCCACAAGAGGAAAAGCAGACTTCCAGAGTCATCATAATTACACTTTTGCTCTGCTCCAAGAAAGTATCTTGTCAAAGTGAGTTTTTAAAGCTGCAGAATGAGGGAAAATGTTTGCAAAGTGCATACCCATCAAAGGACTGCTACTCAGAGCACATAAAGAACTCTGGTGCAATGTCACAAGGCAAATAATGCAGTCACAAATGAGAAAAAGGTGTAGAAAGGGACTTTTCAAAAACAGAATGCTGATGGCTAATAAGTAAGTACATGAGAACATGTTCGGTGTTATCTTCCATTAAAAGGCAAATTAAAATTCTAATAGGTAGCATTATGCACTGATCATCATAGCCAAAATATAAAAAAAAAGAATCAACTGTTGTCAAAGATTCAGAGAGAGTGGCCCATCATACCCTTTTGATGTAAATGCAAAATGAATATCACAGCAACTCTGAGAAAGAACTTTGCAATGTTTTCAAAAATAAATATGCCCGCCAGGTATGATAGTGCACAACCCTAATGCGTGCACTTGGGAAGTAGAGGCTTGGGAATAGGAGTCCAGCGTCATCCTTAGTCAGGTGGTGAGTCCAAAGCAAACTTGGGCTACCTGAGACCGTGCCTTGGAGAAGGAAAACAAACAAGCATGAAAATAAATAAGCAAATGTGTGACTGTCTTACAACTGATGTTTCTGAACCTTATTTTAAAGAAAAGAAAACTCACATTCACACTGGAGCTTATTCAAGAATGTGTGTAGTAGTTTTATTTTGAAGAGTTCCAAACTCTAAACCAACTAGATAGCCTTCAATGGGTAAATGGATTAATTGCAGTACACCACACCATTGAATACTACTACCTCAGCTATAAAAAGGAAAAAGCTACCAGTACATGTATCAATTTAGATGGAACTCTAGAGATTTATATGCAGTGAATACAACCCATTATGAAAGGCTGTGTATTGCAATATTCTATTTGTATTACATTCTTGAAATAAGAAAAGAAATACGGAACAAATAGTTATTTCCAAGATGTAAGGATGAGAGGAAGCTTCTAAATAATGGGGACACGGCTATCAAAGAGAGATGTTGGACCTGTATGGTGAGTGCAACATTCCGTGTTCCAGCTGTAGGGTTTTGCAGTACATTTCCATGAGAAGAAAGTAAATAAAAGATTCACTGGATCTATTACTTATAATTGCATATGAAACTACAGTGATCTCAAAATAGTCTAACTAAAAAACTGTATTAATTTATCTTGGTCCTGAAATGTGTGTGTGTGTGTGTGTGTGTGTGTGTGTGTGTGTGTGTGTGCTGCTTTGAATTTGATATTTCCTAGAGGTCCAAGTGTTTAGGGCTTAAACTGATGGGTTTTGGGAAAGTGACGGGATCCTGAGGACTCTGACCCAATCAACAAACCAATCCTTTCATGAATTTTTAATGTAGTAGCATTATTGGGAGCCAATAGAAACTATGAGATGAGAATCTTTAGAAGATACCTGTCTGTCTGTCCATCCATGCGTCTGTGTGTCTGCCTGTCTGCCTTCCCTCTCTTTTTCTTCTTCTCTCTTTCCTCATTCCTCTCCCCTCTCCCATTCCTGGCTATCATGAGATGAGCATTTCTGCCCATCACACTGCCACCACATGGTATTCTGCCTTGCCTTAGGCCCAAAGCAGTAGAGCTAAATATGAATGGAGACATTTGAATTTGTGATCCAAGGTCTGTCTTTTCTTTCTCATGTTATTTCTCCCAAGAATTTAGTCACGATGAGGAAAAGCAGACTAATGCAGTGAATATGTATATGTTGTACAGACTTTGCAGGTTATTTGTCATAGAAAATAAAGCAACCCCATTGACACATGGAATGGAATAGCAGGGTTTCGAGATTACATTTTTAAAACTTCATTTCTTTTAATTTTGTGATTATCATATATAATTACATCATTTCCTTCTTCTCTTTCTTCTTCCAAATTCTCCCATATACTCCTCCTAGCTCTCTTTCAAATTAATAGCCTCCTTTGTCATTAGTCATTTTACGTACATATAAATTCCTAAATACATAAATGCAAACTTCTTGGTTTGTATAATTCTACTTGTATGTGTGTTTTCAGAGCTGACCATTGGTATTGGACAACAACTTGGTGTGCTGCTCCCTGGGGAAGATACTCCACCACCAGCCCCCACCCTAATGCAGCATTCCTTAGTTGCCTGTAGCTCTTTTATAGTTGTGAGGCCTAATGGGGTCCCCCACCATTCCATGTTAGCATGTACATTGTTGCTCTTTTCGAGCTCATGTTTAGGCAGTCACCTTGAGATTTTTTATGAGATCAAAATACAGAGCTATGGAGCCCAGGCCAAAAGGATACATCTGCAAAACAGTACCTGAATCTAAAGCCCAGAGAACATTGCAGAAGGGGGCATAGAAAGATTGCAAATTCCAGAAGGTCCTGGAGGTTAATGTGAGATGGAGCGTACTTTTAAAGGATTCCTTGTTTGCAATTGGGTCACCCTATCTGGGTATATGATATACTTCTGCATTTGCTTCATTTGAATGTAAGTTGTGAATGCAGAACGTGTTATATGATATTTAACATTGTGTTGATTCAATGATAAATATTGCATTGATTTATTGATTACTTTAACACCACACTATTTCTGGCAGATCAGAAAGATATCAATCTATTGAGGTTTTGCTTTCATCCAGTTCCATTTGCTAAAGTTATCAGTCCTCTTCATTTTTCTGTAGATTGTGTAGTTTTTAAAGAGATGAGAATGTGTTTTCCCATCTCCCCAGTGTCATGATCTCTGGTGTTTACCACAGCATTGAATAGATGAACACGGATAGGAAGTTCCCTTTTCTCAAGCCAGAATTTTCAAGGAGAGCCTGTAATTGCTTGACATTAACTCTGATGTTTGCTGTGGATGAGGAATAAAAGAGAAAATGGTCTTTTATTTATAAATAAGAAAAAAGAATTTTTTCTAAGATCAAATGAAGGAAGAGGAGTTGAAAAATGAGTGGCAAAACACCTTTTCTAAGAAGAAATTATTTAAAGAAAAGCATGACTAATTTTAAAAATTAAATAAAAGTAGTTGAAAACACATGTTCTTAAAGAATAAACACAATCTAAGAGGTTCGTCTTTGGGGCTGGAGATTGGCTCCGTTGGTAGAATGTTGCTTAGCCTCAATTGTGATCCCCAGATTTATATAAGACCAGGCAGCAGTGCCACGTATCTGTAATCCTATCATGTGGAAATTGAAAAGAGGAGAGCAAGGATTTCAGAATCATCTTATGTTAAATAGAGAGTTCCAAGCTAGCCTGGACACATGAGCTCCAGTTTCACAACAGAAGACTTAGATTTCCCGTGCACTGCTCATGGGCAGATTCATGGCACGGTCTGAAGACTTAGATTTCCCGTGTACTGCTGATGGGCAGATTCATGGCACGGTCTGGAGTCTTCTGAACTAGTGTAACAGAAAGCCTGCTTCTGAAGTCTCAAGTCCACAGAGTCTATGTGGTTGTACATAGTCTTCTGCAGAGTTCTTGGAGTTCTTCCACAGAAACAAAATAGGAGGCACATGCTATGGGGTTTGTTGTGTGGAATCAGCATTTACAGCTCTGGATACTGGCTGCGTGAGTTCAAAATCCATAGGGCAGGGAAGTAAGAAGAGCAACCTGGGACTCTTGACCTCAGACAGGAGCTCCACATCCATAGGTAGAGTTCCGTCTTCTGAAAAACCTCAATTTTGCTTCTACAGATTTTCATATGACTTCGTGAGCCCCCAACCCAGAATTTTCTAGGTGATTATTCTCTACATAAAGTCAGTTGACTGTGAATGACAACCACATCTATATGAAACCTTCAAGGTGACAACTAGACCAGCTTCAGGACAGCAGCCTTGTGAAGAGGACACAGAGCAGGCCCCTACAAAAGAGGAACCTACTGGTTGCCACGAAGAGTGCCTTATAGCTTGAAAGAAGAAACTGGAAACCATAACCCGGTACTAAAAATTCTCTTCTTAGGTACTGGCACTGGTTTGTAATTTGAAAGCTATGGACCCCTGGAAAGGAACTCAGAGTTTTGACAACGGCATGTTCAGTAAGAGCAAAAATTAGCTATTGTTGATGCAAAATTGGCAGCATGCAACATGATCCTGAATCAATAAGTAGCTATGGGAGATACTGAATCAATTTTATTTGGATATGATGAATACTCCACCTTCAGTGCTTACAAGACAAAGGGAAATATTATAGTCCCACTGGTGAGGGCAGCATAGTATCACGAGGGAACATAATTAAGCGACAGCATGCAAGGTTGTGAAGGGGTAGCCAGTGTCCACGCTCCTCATGGTTTTTAATGGTACTATAAAGAAATGAGGTTCAATATGATAAGTCACCAAAAAGTCACCCAGCCAGAGCCTTTTCAACATTAATATATCATTAGATCACTTTCCTCCCTCCACCTCCTCTCGCCCTCCCAGCTCCCTTTCAAGTTCATGGACTCTTAACTCTTTAATTATTATCGTTACATATACATACAAGTGAATAAGTATATAAATACATCCTGCTAAGTCTCTGAAGTGTTGCTTTTATATATGTAGTTTTAGGGCTGATCACTTGGCCTTGCATAATCATCCAGAGGGCTCAACCCTACGAAAGACCAATTCTCCCTCTCTCAGCCGTTGTCAGTTGAAGAGCCTGTAGCTCTTCATCCATGGCAGAGGCCCCACGAGATTTCCCCTTCCACTTGATTATGTCAGTTGATGCTGTCATCGTTTGGGTTTTATTCAGCTGAGCATATTGTTGAGATTTCATCACAACACATCCCCCTGCTGGGAACATCTCTGAAGAGGGAGCAGGATGACTGCAAGAGTCAGAGGATCAGGAAGTCTGACGTGAGATCGTATCTTCCAGATGTGACAGAACATCCACAACTAGAGCTCTTTGGGGACTAGAAGTAGCAGTAGCGGTGGTGGTGGTGGTGATGGTGATGGTGGTGATGGTGATGGTGGTGGTGGTGGTGATGGCGTCTGAATACACGTCGTGGGGAGCATGTGTGGAGAAGGGTCAGTACTCTCTTTATACCTCTATGGCAGTTCCGGGGATTGAACTCAGGTCAACAGGCAAGGACTCTTACCTGCAGAGCTACCTCAGTCAGGGTTTGAATTCAGAGGGAGACATCTTCAGACATGGAACAGAGGAAACCTTAGAACGTCTTGAACTGTGACAGTTTCAGTGGTCGTAAAATAATTACCCCTCTCATTTCTTCCTGCTTTCCTCCATCATCAAGGTGAACACAGGTCATTCATTTCTCCAAGGCAAAAAACAAAACACAACAAAAAACACCATTACTGATAAACAACAGAGAAATGCAAAACTAAAGTTGATTATGTTAAACATCTCTAATTCCACAGAAGCAGTGGGGCCCCTGGAGACAGACATGCCAGGTTCCTTTTCTGTGGTCACCCAGCAGTCTGGTGGCCAGAAAACTCAGCTGCTTATTTCTTCCTTGTCTGTGCTTTTATGAAGCAGAATGAGCACTGGGTTTTGACATTAGTAAATGGCTCCGATTCAGGGTTTCCCACTTATTTGCTAGGCAACTTTTGGAAAATATCTACACAACAGTGTCTTCCTCTATAAAATGAGACAAACTAGAGTGCACGCATCATAAGCTTGATCTGCACGTTAAATGCAATAATGAGTTAAAAACTCAGTGACTTGACGACCCGTGGGCAGAAAACACTCAAATGTCTCATCTAAGCAATGAAACTTGCTGGGAAAGTGCAGATGACTAATTGGCCTCCTACAACATGCGTTTCTTCCTTTACATTGAGCTTCTGATAACCAGCTGGTTCTATACATTACATGACTTTTCTTGAAGGTACATGAACAAACACCTATTTATGCCAGTGCAGGCAGTGTCAGCAGAACAAAGAAGTAATTCAACCAAGTCTATTTTGGTGAATCCCTATTTTTTTACTGGGGTCGTTTACAAGAGCATGGGTGAGGGGTTACTTATAGGAGCATGAGTGAATAAAAGGCAACTGAATCAAGCAAGAGCAACAACACAGCTCCCCACCTGAAGCATGGGTGGTGACTAGCAAAATTGCATCCCTGGAGATCCTGTCTAATGTCAGCTCTGTAGAAGAGCTGCTTCTTGTCCAGCAGTTACCTGTTTTTCATATGACCACAGGGAGGGACCTGTGACTCTTGATATTTCTGAGCCCCCTGAGTTTGTGAGTTCCATTCACTTCCCAGGTCATACTGCTCTTCCTCTCTTCTGGGGGGACTGCTTCAATTTGTAAGAAAGTTATGTAGCACCTTGTTACCTGGGGAATCAAGACTGCTTCCTAGAGTCACTTGGAGCTTTTTGTAGCCTTGTGACTAAATTCCCACCCATACTATGTGAACAGAAGTACCAATAATATATAGCAGTGTCCGGGAATCACTTTAGGAGGTATTTGGCCCAGTATGTGCATTTGTGGTCGCTTGGATAAAAATGGCCCCCATAGGATCATAGGGAGTGACACTGTTAGGGGTGTGGCCTTGTTGGAGGAAGTGTGTCACTAGGGGTGGGCTTTGAGGTCCCAGATACTCAAGCCAAGCCCAGTGTGTCCCATTTCCTTCCTGCTGTCTTCAGATCCAGATGTAGAATTCTTGACTACTGCTCCAGCACCATGTCTGCTTGTGTGCCACAATGCCTGCCATGACGACAATGAACTAAACCTCTGAACTGTAAGCCAGCCCAAATTCAATGTTTTCTTTTATAAGAGTGGCCTTGGTCATGGTGTCCCTTCACAGCAACAAAATCCTCATTAAAACACCATTCTTGCCCCAGAAGATAAGACCCACTCCTTGGGGAAGACAAATTTGTAGGCTGCAGGAAGCCTTGGTTCCTTACCATAATGGGACAGTCAAGTAATCCTCAACTGCTACTTCTATTCCTTTAAATGCATGCAAAATGAACTTCTGCTCTCCTTCGGCCATTGGTTAATGCTATTCATAGCTCAACCTAATGCCAAGAGAGCAAAAATCGATCCATGACCATTCAAGGTAATGGGGCTTTGCAGTATATGTGCAGTAGTAAGCAGAACCAGAGCTTATAACAGATTGGTTGACTGAGATAAACACCCTGGGTTGCAATTCAGGGACCTAGATCTGAATCTCTAACTTACCAATTTACTAGTGAGGCGGGTTCTCTTCAAGGCTATGAGCCTCATTCACTCGAAGCAAGAAGGTGGCTCATAGGATCTGCTTTCTTCCAGATCCAACGGCCCACGGTTTTCACACTGTTTGTTTACCATAAGCATCCTCCATTAGCAAGGTCTCCATTTCCCTGGGATCACCACATGACGCAGGTAGACGGATGGTTACATCTCCATGGCTCAGTGACAGCAGTCGGTTCACAGACATTAAAGAAGTCTTCCGGAGGTTCTGGGCTATGAGTTGTAAATTTTACTGAACCTCTTCAATGAGAACAAAAAGAAATTGAAGTTTAGAGAAACTAAAAAACATATAAGAGGAATATATTGAGGGACTGAAAGGCAGAGAAAGAGAGACAGAGAGACAGAGAGACAGAGAGTGAGAGAGGGAGAGACAGTGAGAGAGACAGAGACAGAGGGAGAGACAGAGACAGAGAGAGAGAGACAGAGACAGAGACAGAGACAGAGAGAGACAGAGAGAGACAGAGACAGAGACAGAGGCACCAACTACCAACTAGGAGACCCAGGAAAAAGAGAAACTTTCCCAGTGTGCCACCCATAATGTTAAGTCAATGCTTATAAGTCAGTTCCCTTCTACCACACTTTTTTTTTTGCAAAAGACGTGTTCTTGGTGCTTAGAGACCATCTTGACTGCAAGTAACCTGGTTCTTTCCTCCTTTTCAATAAAGATGGCAATTCATTAAACATGTAGTTAAATGAGATTCCGTTTTTAAAAGCTTGCTAAAGCTTTTTATGTAAAAAATAGTCACAGGGCGCAAGCCTTTAATCCCAGCACTAGGGAGGCGGAGGCAGGCGGATCTCCGTGAGTCTGAGACTTCAAGAGCTAATTCCAGGACAGCCTCCAAAGCCACAGAGAAACCCTGTCTCGAAAAACAGAACAGAACAAAACAAAATAAAAACGAAAGTCACAGACGAAGGGGGAAAAAAACCACCTGTCAGATCACGTGGATGAATTCTTAGTTTACAAACTATGGTCATCTGGGACAGGCTTACAGAGAGGCATTGAGGGCAGCAGAAACGGGGACAGAGACAGTTTCGGGAGCCTGGGCGGTCTCTGCTCTGACTTTGTTTTGTGAGCCTCTCAGGGATTAGATCCCACGTGCTATCAGAATGCAATTTCAAAATCAAAAGACACTTCTTCCTCCTGGAAGGGAAACTGAGGCCTGGATAATGGTGAGCAGTGCTCAGAGTGCAGAGCCACAGAGGCTGGCTGTGCCGTATCAGATGTCCCCACACGCCACCTGGCCTCTGCCACAGCTGACGTTTATTCTAACAAGCGCCTCGAGCTCCACCTGTGAGTGCGACTGTCTCCCAATCCTTCTGAGCAGCCTGCTCCAGGCAGCCACTAGCAATTGACTGGAGACAAATTTTGAGGTGAAAGCTGTTTGCTCTCCCTGGCCTAGAGCTCACTGTGAGTGATGGGGCAAGGTGCTCTGAACTCCACTGAAATAAACGTCAGAGAAATAGACTTAAGACATAGTGCTCTCTACTGAAAACCGAGGGGAAGGCTGGCTATAGGGGACGGCCCGTACCATGGTGGTACAGCAGAGGAGGCAACTGGTGGTGGGGGATGGGATGACACACAGCTGTGATTCAAGAGACTCGGCTAAGACAGGCTTGGGCCCTTGGAAGCACAGCTGAAACCCAGGGACTTCGGTTTAGCCATTATCGCTGGGACACGACCTGGAAGTCTGAGTTGATTTCTGTCGTATACAGGGAACTCGCCACATCTGTAGATTCTGTGTACATGGCTTCAATCAAACACAAACTGAAACTCAACAGAAACAAAGCATGGTCGTTGATCATATAAAGGTATTTTTTTCTTGCCACTATTCCCTAGGTAATGTATTGTAGGTAGTCTGGAGCTGATTTAAAGTCCATAGGAGAATATGCACAAGTTATAAATAATATGCAAATACTACTACGCTTTTTTCACGAGGATCCGAAGCATCTGAAGGTTTTGGTAGCAATCCGCTCTATACACCAATGGGCGGCTGTGCTAGCTTGGGAACTGAGCAAATTATTTAACTCTCTGAGAATCTATTTTCTTAACAGATTAGCAGTTATAATATATTCTCTTTGTTCGTGCAGACATGCAAATCTGGTACAGATAAGTCCTTAGCTTAGCATGCAGTGTTCTCACTGTGTTATGATACTGTAGCATAGCCATGACCAAAAACAAATTATTCCAGGAAAGGACTAGTTTGGCAGGTCCTACTTTGGAGCTACTCTGAAGAGTGCTGTCACAAAAACGTTTATCTGAGTACACACTACAAAACCAAGGTGCTACAGCAATACCATCATATGCTTGATTTCAGTAGATGTAGCCAAAGAGCTATCTCTAAGGTGATTCAAGTCACCTTATTGCCACCAACAGCCTATAAGACTTTCAGTTGTATCAACGTCACAGAAAACACCTGGCATTTTTCATTCCTTTCTTCTGTGTATTTCTGTTTTTCATTTTTCAGCTCTTATAGCCATACAGTCAGGAAAGTGAGATTCCACAAGTGGAATCTGAAATCTGCAGAACAAGCCTTCCCATATCACAAAAGCCTGGTTGCATCACATGTCCTGAAACACATTGCCTGGGTACTTATCCCACCTGCCTCGTCTCTAAGGGCGCCTGAGTGTGTTCTCTTGTTGACTTCTGAGACTAAATTATGCTGCTATTGACATTTTACTAAAGTAAGAGCCGAGTCTTCCGTGTCATATAACAGGAAAGGAGCGAAACCCCATGCCACGGAGGGCTGGACTTGCTTCTGCAAGCCTGACCACTATCTGGAGAGCACAGCAGGAGGAAGGAAGCATGTGTCACTGTCAAAAATGGGTTCTAACCTTGGGCCCCGCTCGTGATCAGTTATAAAAGCTTGAACACGTTAATATACTCTCGTGAGTCCTGTGTACTGAACTTTCAAACGGTGGTTATCAAATATTAAATATCATTAAATAGTTATTTGTTGAATTAAGTCATAGCTCACAAGTCAAAGCGGCTAGCACAGTGCCCAAAAGACAGTGTCAGAGACTGGCTGAAGAAGAGTACTTGAGCACAGTACTCCCAGATGTTCTCTTGGCTCCCATCAGAACAACCAAAGGAGCAGAAAAGTGGGAACGGGTCTTAGGTGGTCTAAAGGAACCGGGAAACTTGTCGGCAGCATTACTTGGGCTTGGAGCTTTTGAACCAGAGCAGTGGGAAACGGTAGCAGGAGGAGGAGAAGGAGGAGGAGAAGCAGGAGGAGGAGGAGGAGGAAGAGGAGGACGGGGCAGGGGGGGTGTGTGCAGGCAGACAACGGAGCGTACTGGTCTTAGTCTCATGTGGGTTTGCAGCAGTGTGCGCATGCACCAAAGGAAATGGTGAGACCTCTCCACGGCCTGCGGGGGACAGCTCAAGGCAAGAGGCGAGGAGGATCCCGGATGCCTGTGTGGCCTAGACACAGAAAGGTGTGGCCAGGCTATGCTGGGTATGCCATGAACGTCAGTGTGGGTAACGCTCCCTGGGCCAGGGTGTTGATGTGGCCGTCGCTGACACTCTTCCTCTTTATCCCCAGGCACAAACAACGCAGCACAGAGCAGTCAGAGGGCCAGCGATGAAGGCATCGGGGAGAAAGGTGACCCAGGGCCCACCTGTTCTTAAAAGGGAAGAGCAATCAGCAGCCTTGAATGAAATGTGTCCTGTTTCAACTTGACGAGACTGAATCAGTGAGCGATGCTATCAAAGAAAGCATCACTCAAGGCTCAAGAGGAGAGACAGATCCGTTTTAGAACTTAAGCAAGCAAGCAAGCAAGCAAGAAAGAAAGAAAGAAAGAAAGAAAGAAAGAAAGAAAGAAAGGAAGGAAGGAAGGAAGGAAGGAAGGAAGAAAGGGTGCCTGCTTGAAATGCTAAGTGTTGACTAGCAAAGCTTTATCGACATAATTTACAAAGAACGGAAAACAAGAAGTAATATGGTAACAAATGGAAAGTACTGAGGGGCTGAGGAAAATTTATCCAGGTTTCAGCACGTGGTACAGACCAGCACTGCTTGTTAAAGGAAAAGGGAGGGGAAAAAAGAGAGAGAGAGAGAGAGAGAGAGAGAGAGAGAGAGAGAGAGAGAGAGAGAGAGAGAGGAGAGGAAGAGGAGGAGAGGAAGAAGGGGGAGAGAAGAGGAAGGAGAGGGGAGAAGGAGAGGGAGAGGAGAAAGGAGGGAGAGAGAGGAGGGGGAGAAGGAGAGAAGGAGAGAGGAGAGGCGGAAGGAGAGGGAGGAGAAAGGAGAGAAATGAGGGAAACCTGTTCCTTCTCTAGGGTGCTGTCTGCAGTAAGAGACTCAGGACTTGGCAAACAGAAGATGGACAGAGCTTTTCCGAGGGACTGGGGAGTAGCTCAGTGGGGAAGAGTATGAAGACCTGAGTCCAAATCCCCAGAACTCATGTGAAAAGACAAGCTTGCTTGAGCGTGCATCCAAGCCTAGAGATCATAGGCAGGCGCAGGAAGATCCCTAGGGCCTGGCTCTGGGTTCAGCTAGAGACCGTGTGTCATGGAAATGAGGCAGAGTCAGAAGACCCTCCTCTGTCTTCTGTGTCCCAACCCAAAATACACACACGGACAGCACCACACGCGTGGACACAAACATAAACGATTGATTGTTTGATTCTTTTTAATTGAGCCACACTCCATTACTTCTGTGCCCACTCATCTCCCCGTCCTGTTCTTTTCTATCCACTCAGGGGATACTGCGCTGGACCAGCACAGAGAGATGGAGAATCAAGGGGGTGTGGTAAAAGTGTTGGACCTGGCAGGCTTGGTCCATACAGCCAAGCAATAAGAGCCTGGGCTGAGAAAGAGAAAAGCCCACAAAGGAAGTGTCACCAGCAGGTCCAGATGTGCCACGGAGAGGGCATTTAGTGTTTCTGTGGGGTAGGACTGCCATGGGGAACCCTGATCCTGCCTGCATCTGTTGAGCTGGGTGTCCTTGAAGGAGTCTCCGTGCCTTTGTTGTCCCACCTACAAAATGAGAATGACGGCAGTGTCCATCCAAGCAGCAGAGTTATTTTAAAAGCTAAAGTAGTAGCTTGTATGAATTCTATTGAGGCAAAGTCTGACATATAGGTCTATTCTTTTTAAAGCAGAAGGTGGTTGGGTGGAGGAAAAACCCATAATACTAGAAAATAAGAGTGCACAACACCTAAAGTCAGGATTCCCATGCATCAGGAGAATTTCAAATGAAATTTTGGGATGTGAGAATGGATGGTCATTTGTTCTCTTTTTATAAACAAAAACATTTAATAAATAAAGGGGAATTTACAACATGGAACATTTGTCTCAAACGAGTTTTCATTTGAACCCAAATTATTTTTTTACTACATTGCCTGTATATTATTCTCAACTTCGCGCATTGTGTGTTGATCTAAAGTCCAGCGTTTGTATACTCTTACAAATGCTAGTAAAACTAGCAACAGTGAAAAAGCAGCCTGAGAGTTACACTCTTCAATCAGCCCACCGATTGCAGATCTGAGCAAGGGTCGGTCACCATGAAGAGGTAGAAAGAGAATCAAGGTCAAGACATTTTCCCCAAGTCAACAAGGCCTGCCTGTGTCAAGAGCAACTGACAGCAGAGAGAAGTCAAGGTGCCTTTAAGGAAGAAATGGGCCCAACCAAAGCATGGGGATCACAAAGGGAAGAGCACATGAAGACGGAGAAGAGCAGCACGACGTACTGGGGACCGAGGGACGGGAAGAGGAAGGTATGACCCACACTTCTGCAAACACAGCTTCAGAAGCAGCCAGGAAGTATCTCTCTTATTAAACCACGTTTTACTTATTCTTTCAAATTTTCATACATGTGTACGATGTTTTTTATTTTATTCACCGTGCAATAAAAGGACTTAATTTAACTATGCTAGATACGCACAATCATGTATATACTATACATACATACATGTATGTCCATGTACATACGTACAGACACATAAGCACATATGTATATACACATGCGCAAATACACACATTTTAATATGTATTCATATGTACAATATACACACACATTTATAAGCTCACATAATATACACATACACACAAATATAAACACATATAAACATACACATACAAATATTTTATATATACGTTTATGGGTAGACACATGTATGTAGTATATATACATGCATACTATGCACGGTCACATATATATATGCACACACATATAAAACATACATAATACATGCACAAACACGTGTGTAAGTATACATATGTGTGTATCCTCATTATCCTTTAATTCTGATGTAGTGGCTGTACCATGAAGATCAGTCCTTGTTGGAACACCCACAGTTGTCTGCTGGTGCATGGCAAATCTTTAACTGACGGCCCACATCTTGTTGACTGAGGTCACATACCACGTTGTCCCTCGGTCTTCTTGGTCTACTTCTCAACTGCTCTTTTCAGAGTATGTTCTGTGCTGTTTTTCCCATTTTCTGTGCTCTTCTCTGTGAATTTCTGTTTAAGATGATATCAAACACAGGGTTAAAGTGCTGTTTATTGTTCCTAAGTGTGGGAGGCTGTGCCAAGTTTTATAAAGAAACTCACAGTTAAGAGAAGAACTACTGGCCTTGAATTCAAATACATAGAATCATGTGTATAGTTCACTGTCACGAAATACACAAAACATGTACTTACACATATATGGGTATATTGAGAGAGGTATTTACAGAGAAACACATGTAAAATAGGATTATTGCTCATTGATGAAGGTGCCAAGTGGATTTCAAGAAACTAACTAACCCTTTATTTCCTAATTCAGATTTCCTGATGGGTTTACAGAATACAAATACCTCAGTAATAAGAAGCTGCTGTCATTTTATGTGTGAATAGGAAAATAGCTACCTTTAGGGGCCTACAGTTCAGTGGTTAAAACTTTTCTACTCTTGCAGAGAACATAGTTTCAATTCTCAGCAGCTATGCCTCAGCTCACAACTATTTGAAACTCAAACTCCAGGGTATCTCAACACTCTTTTACCTCCATAGGTATTTCATGTCCATAGTGTACATAAACTGAAACAGGTACACACACACACACACACACACACACACACACACACACACACACACACACGATAATAATAAATAAGTAAGTATTTCAAAAGAAAGATAAATACATAAAGCATGTTGCTCTGGAAGAATCAATACACAACAAAATAAATAAATAAACCTAAGTATGGTCAACTTGGAATAGGCTGGTATTATTTGCTTTAATATAGGGGGTATAGTATAATATATCAGCTCATTATGTTATTAATATTCTATACTGCACAATACTATAATTTATGAACATTTAGGTACAGAAAATACATGTGAGAATAATACATAAAAAACATTGGGGGTTGGGGTGAATATGATTTGTGATAGTTTGAAGGTAAATGCCTCCCATAAGCTTACATGGAATGGCACTATTGGAAAGTGTAGATTTGTTGGAGTAGCTATGGCCTTTTTAGTTTAAGTGTGTCACTGTGGAGGCGGGCTTAAAGGTCTCATATATGCTCAAGCCACACCCAGTGTTTCAGTTCACTCCGTTACCTGCCAATCAAGATGTAGGACTCTCATCTCTAGCACCATGTCTGCCTCTGTGCCACCATGTCCCAACCGACTAAACCTCTGAAACTGCAAGCCATTCCATTAAGTGTTTTCCTTTATAAGAGTTGTCACGGTCATGGTGTCTCTAAGACATAATCTAAACTACAAGCATTATAGAAAATTCTCTGAGAACGCAGAACAATAAAAATTAAAAATAAGACTCTTGCTACTATTATTTGGGACACAAGGTTAATGAGAAACAAATCCTGACCTAGAAGACTCACCCATCTGTTGTTGAAGGGAGGCCTATGCAAGATAATTTAAAACTACACAGATGGCAGGCCATGGTAGCACATGCCTGTAATCCGGGAAACCTGAGATGAGGGTGTGGAGTTCAAAGTCATCCTTGGCTATACATTGCACTCAAGGCAAAGGCAATCTGTCAGAGGCCCTGCCTCAAAATATATAAACGGACAGAAAAAAATTTACAGAAGAATACTGAAAGAATAAAAATAAAACTTCATTGAGAAAAGCAAGATTGTGTAATCAATTTAAGCTAGACAAAGAGTCGGCTTTGGGTTATTAACTGTGGAATTGATGAATAGGATAGATAGAGAGAGCCTTGAGTATAATCTACAAGGCAGATAAGATCCCTGTTATAAGTGGACCCAAGAAAATAGCCAGATAAGCAAACACACTGCAATATAAGGAAAAGGTTCTGAAAAGTAGTCAAGAGCTGTATAACTAGGGAACGTTTATTAATACAATAATAAATGTATTTATTATCAAATGACATCAAAGTAAAGGAATGAAAAGATGTTGACATAAATCATTGGTTGATACAGAACACTTTAGTAATGGGATGAAGAGTAATGGGTTCTAAATTGTGCACAGACACACACACACGCACACACACACACACACACACACACACCGCATACAGAACATATTAGTTCTGCTTTTCCCTGATTACTTAGGGATACACTGTAAAAATTATGAATTACTGGAGATAAGTAAATTTAATATCTTCTACAGATGCACATAGAATAGCAAGATAAATTATTAAAATATGAAATATGAATCAAAATATCAAAACAAAAATAAAGAAATTATGTGTGGGATATATCACTTGTCAAGTGATAAAACTCTTTGACATGGACAACAAAACTATATCCATAAAGAAATACTTTTTTTACAAATCAAAATTTAAAGGCCAGAAATCCAATACCAGGAAGCATGAACAACATCACTAAGCATAGAGTTTTGAAGTCACGAATCAAAACTAAAAAGAGGAAAAATTTTAAATGAAGTATATAAATAAAATAAATTAAAAAATATAGATCTGATTAATTCAATATTAACATATTAGTATATGTGAAACACAGATACTTGTAAATTAAGAACAAATTAATATAAGTTTAGTAGTAGGAGAAGAAATATATAATTTAGAAGATTACAGTTTTCCTTATAGCTACATGCTGATGCCCAAATTCTACAAAAAAGCTTGTAATATATTATAGGCTTATGAAACATTTACTAAAACTCATTTTTCCCTCATGAAGAATTTATTAAATTTTAAGATTTTTCCAAGCCAATTCTATCTTGAGTGCCATAAAACAGAATCAAAGAAAGGAAATACCATTAAAAGCCCAATCACATGGCAAGGTAAAAAGACTCTTGTAAAAAAAAGTTTAATGGAAGAGGAAAAAAAACTTTTAAAGTTTAAATAAAACAAAACCCTGATTTTTAAACAACCAAAATAAAAGTGTTGCATATAAAAGTTCACAGGGTCTGGCCAAAGATCTACCAACAAAAACGTAGGACTTTCTTGATTTTTAACACCACATATGAAACAATAGAAATAAACTGACTATTTTGCTCAATAAGATAGAAAAAAACTCATAGTCATAAGGAAGTATAAAAGCATGATAATGATAGAGGCAAACTCAATAAAATGAAAAAGTATATGAACAAAAACATTTGAAAATTGTCTCAAGGAATAAAATATAAAAAATAAAATTCTTATAAAGAATAACAAAAAAATAAAATCAAAGTAGAGACAAGGAAGATCTCATAATCAAAAATATGAGAGAAGTTTATGCAGCAAATTAAAATGTCCTAATAACAAAATTGTGATTATTAACTAAAATATATTATTCAAACAGTCTATCTATCTATAGGGCAACTTACTCCAAATGACAAAGCCAAACTGTCTAATAAAATAGGAGAATGGGAAACAATTCTTACAGCTAAACAAAAACTGTGGGAACACCAGACCTTGAGCAGAGACCCACTTCCCCTTCTGCCTGGGAGTAGGCAGCTGTAAGACAATGTTTAGTAAAAACATGTTTACTAAAAACGATACAATAAGTTCCTGGCCACTTCCCCTTCTGCCTGGGAGTAGGCAGCTGTAAGACAATGTTTAGTAAAAACATGTTTACTAAAAATGATACAATAAGTTCCTGGGAAAGGCCTTCCCACGGGAACCGCCCTGACCTCGACCTTGTCCAGAGACTAACCGCACCTTCAAAAACCCACACACATCCACCTCTGGTGTCAGAGCAGAACCAGCGAGGGTAGAGGAGAGAGCAGAAGCTTCTCTGGTGGGAGCTTTTCTTAGGAGGTTTTCTTGAACCTTTTTGGAGCCTGTTTAAAGTTTTCTTTATATCATTGAACGAGTCTCTGTGTTGTCAATCCCTGACACCCTCCGCACGTTCTCGGACACAGGCCACGCAGCAGACGTGACAAAAAACAAAACATTTTGTTACTTTGTAAAAACCCAGGGTTTTGAAACAAATAATGAGGCTTTCCCACTTACTGTATAAGAGGAACATGTTTCTGACACTAAATGTAAAATGCACACACACACACACACACCATTTTAAAAATAGCACCTAAATTTGGTCAACTAATGTACACTAAACACCCTCAGATGAAACAAATGAAAATCACTTTTAGATTTTAGGAGTTCTAGCTTTGAGTTTGGGAAGCTATTTTTCAGAGACCAGATGTCTCAACAAGAGCGATCAGGTGAGGGTTAGACTGTGTAGATATCTGTTTGAAGACATCAGAAAGTTCATTAAATTCTATAGTCGGGACCTGAAAGGTCAAGGCCGTGGATAAAACAAGACTATCAAGAGTAGACTAGAATTCTGGTTTCCTTTCACCTTAACACAGCTCTCAATATCTGGCACGAGAAAAACTAAAATAGAATCCACTGAGAAAATTATCCAGTTTGGTGGAGTACAGGTTTTAAAAGTGTGTCTAGATTTCCTTGGTGTCAGTTGTTATGTCCCCCCTTTGTCTCTAATTTTGTTAATTTGGATATTATCTCTGACTTTTAGTTAATTTGGATAAGGGTTTGTTGATCTTAATGATTTTTCTCAAAGAACCAACTCGCTGTTTCATTGATTCTTTGTATTGTTCTATTTGTTTCTACTTTATTGATTTCAGTCCTGACTTTCATTATTTCTTGCCATCTACCTCTTTTAGATTAAATTTCCTCCTTTTGTTCTAGAATATATAGGTGTGATGTTAAATTGCTCACAATAGATCTCTCCATCACTTTTTTTTAATATAGGCACTTAGTTCTATGATCTTTCCTTTTAGAACTACTTTCATTGTGTCCCATACATTTTGGATATGACCTGCATTCATTTCATTCAAACTCTAGAGTCTTCAATTTCTTTCTTAATTTCTATCTTGACCTGTGATTCATTCAGTAGAGAGCTGTTCAGTTTCCAAGGGTTTGCAGTTTCTGTTGATATTCAGCTTCAATCTATGGTGTTCTGATAAAATGCAGGGGGCTAGTTCAATTCTCTTTTATCTGTTAAGGCTTACTTTGTGTATGAGTATGTGGTCAATGTTGGAGAAAGTTCCTGGAGGTACAGAGAAGAATCTACAGTCTTTGTGTTGGGTGAAATGTT